TCCGCGCTCCACGAGATATATCCCATGACCGTAGCCTGCGTGCTGCGGAACCATACGTGGCATAGGAAAGGATTTCCGTGACGTGCGACAACCTCGACGTCATTGAAATAATTAACAGAGGTCGTTCATCCTCTCCCCAAATCACACCCTCCTTAGACGCATCACATGGCTCTCAGTCCTGAACATTTTATCATCACTGCTCGTCACGTCCCTCGTCACCTAACTGTCTTGCTGACTCTCTCTCTCGCTTTAAATTCCAGGAGTTCTGACGCCTCTGCCCTTCTGCCAATCCATCGCCATGCCAGATCCCCTGCACGGAATCTCTCGCCCTGGTCTAGTCCCTCCGTCTCTTCACCTTCTCTCCTCCGCTGCATCCTACATGAAAATGGGCTTCTTACGCATAAGCGAATTCACAAACTCTCACGCCACCTTTAAATGCATCCCGAGACATTGCCTCTCTGACCTGTCATATTATCCCGACTACTTCAACCTCCACCTCAAGCATCCAAACGCAAAGGCGCTTGCAATATAGTCATAGCCCGGTCTGACACTTCTCCCTGTCCCTATAGATCCATGATGCAGTACACTCGCCTCCGCTCTCGGAAAGGAGATCTCAACGGACCATTATTTCTTACCCCCGATAACCTCCCTATGTCCTCCAACTGGTTCAGAGCCCAACTCAGGTCCGTACTGCTGCTTTGTAACATGTCTCCCCATCTCTACACCGCCCACTCCTTTCGGAAAGGCGCCGCCACGCGCGCCGCGTCCCTTGGGCTCCCCTATTCCGCCCTCCAGCAGCTGGGCCGCTGGTCATCATCGGCCCTCTCCTCATACATCAGGCCTGACACTTCTTCCATCCTGGCAGCCCAGCGGCTTTTGGCATCTTCTTAAAATGCTCGCTAAACTTCCTGGTGGCGGCAGCAGCTGAGGATCCGCAAGTTTGGTCACAGTAGATAGCGGTCACAGCATATAGTGATAGCGGTCACAGTATATAGCGATAGCGGTCACAGTATATAGCGATAGCGGTCACAGCATAGAGTAGTCTCGACGTCTGTCCCCTCCAAACCAGGCTGCAAAACTCCATCAACTCACAACCTTTTTTGGGGATTGGCTCGCTCCTTCGCATGGAGGCCCTCCGATCCGAAGGCCGCACCGGGGCCTAGGGCGCCAAACCTCCTCCCAATAAAATACTCAAAGCTTCTTGTTTCTCGTCTCTCCAAATTGAAATGCAGCCAGCGTAAGTTCAATTTGGTAGACGTCAGCCAAAGGTAACCTCTCCAGGCCGGTTCTCATCCCCAGCCTATCGCACGGCAAACGCCCCCTTCCAATCACCGGTCCAGCCAGGCAAGCTGCTTAAAAGCGGAGAAACTCCCATTCTCGGCCTTCTCGAAGCCTGCAACCACCGCCTCCCCTCCTCCTCCTCTTCACCCTGCCTTCATTCTGCCTTCAATCTGCTTCCCGCTGCAAATGCCGCCACCAGTGCCTAGGTCCCGGGGGATTGGCTCGCTCCTTCGCATGGAGGCCCTCCGATCCGAAGGCCGCACCGGGGCCTAGGGCGCCAAACCTCCTCCCAATAAAATACTCAAAGCTTCTTGTTTCTCGTCTCTCCAAATTGAAATGCACATACAAGTCAGATTTAACAACAGCACCCAGACCCAGACCCAGACCCAGCCCCTTCTCTGAGACCAGGCGGTTACAGCGGCTGTGGTTCAGGTCCAGTCACATCAAACAGTGGATTAAACCAAAACATTGAAACATAAAACATTCAAACTGAGACCAAACGTAGAGACTTGTCGGACTCTCCTCCACTTCCTGATCGGAAAAACCACTTGAGAAACAAAACACCAACAGACAGCACAGATATCGAGTCCAATATGTTTGTAAATAAAACTAAAATCAGTAGTTTCTATCAGAAAAAGCAGTGTGTGTTTGCAGCTTGTCAAACTGGGTCATGTTTATAAAAGTGAATGTCAAAATGTTATTGATGGTTATTAATAAAGTAAAGTAAACACGGGAGGAACAGTCTCTTGTTTCGTGTCAACATTATGTGTGTCGCCTTCTGCTGTTATGGACTGACTTAAAGCTGGGAACATAATGAGTCATTAAAGCTACATTTCTGCACTTTTCATTCTCTCGGACACAACCTTTGATCCGGGACCAGGTCCCAGTTTGGTCGGTTCCAGGGTCGAGGCTCGGGATGAAGACAGACGGAGTCTTCTCTGTCCGGGCTCCTCCGTTTTGGAACCACCAAAGGAGAAAAGGTTAAAGAGAGAGACCAGAGAGAGAGACCAGAGGGAGACCAGAGGGAGACCAGAGAAAGACCAGAGAGAGACCAGAGGGAGACCAGAGAGAGACCAGAGAGAGACCAGAGGGAGACCAGAGAGAGACCAAAGGAAGACCAGAGAGAGACCAGAGAAAGACCAGAGGGAGACCAGAGGGAGACCAGAGAGACCAGAGGGAGACCAGAGAGAGGCCAGAGAGAGGTCAGAGAGAGACCAGAGAGAGACCAGAGAGAGGTCAGAGAGAGACCAGAGAGAGACCAGAGAGAGACCAGAGAGAGACCAGAAAGAGACCAGAGGAAGACCAGAGAGAGACCAGAGAGAGGTCAAAGAGAGACCAGAGAGAGACCAGAGAGAGACCAGAGAGAGGTCAGAGAGAGACCAGAGAGAGACCAGAGAGAGACCAGAGAGAGACCAGAGAGAGACCAGAGGAAGACCAGAGAGAGGTCAGAGAGAGACCAGAGAGAGACCAGAGAGAGACCAGAGAGAGACCAGAGAGAGACCAGAGAGAGACCAGAGAGAGACCAGAGAGAGACCAGAGAGAGACCAAAGAGAGACCAGAGAGAGACCAGAGGAAGACCAGAGAGAGACCAGAGAGAGACCAGAGAGAGGTCAGAGAGAGACCAGAGAGAGACCAGAGAGAGACCAGAGAGAGGTCAGAGAGAGACCAGAGGGACACCAGAGAGAGACCACACTCTAAGAAGTGAAAGAGTGATGTTGTGCACTTTATGTGAAATGGTTAAAGTGAAATTAATGTGTTTCTTATGTTTCTACAGAAAACATAACAATATTGCATTGGTATAACACAAAAGCAACAGATTTCAGAGCTAAACAGTACATATGTTTAAAACCAACCTAACTCTTTCACGTAAACAAAACATGTACGCAATGACGCTGTGACGCAATGACGCAGACATGCGTAGTTGTCAAGGTTGCCAGATGGGCGGTTCCTCGCATACTTTTGTTCCATGTATCTTGTAGTTAATTAATGGATAAAACGGCCATAAACAGTATCCTGATATTCTAAGTTGATTCCATAACTTTTTATCGCAAAAATATCATTTTGGGTGGTTTTTTGTTGGGATTCTCGCGGGTTTTGGGCAGGAAAATCTTGCCGCATCTGGCAACCCTTGCAACCGAGAGCTTGCCACTGACCGCGAACAGAGTGAGAGCCATTTGAAAAGACACAACTTCGAGTGGTCGAAAATCCTCGTCATTTTGGTAAGTAAGACGCTTCTTTGACTATACAGCATGAAACGGTATGGTGTAATTTTCAATAGTGGTTGTGTCTTTTGTCGTTCATTTTGGAACATAGTCATTGCTAGACTATCGGAGGTTTTCCATGGTAATGTATGATTTACTTATAACTAAACACAACATTATAATTTGAGCTCGGGCATTCAAGGTAAGCAGTGTTAGTTTCTCTTTTTTCCAGTTGCGTCGAACAGTGACTTGCCGACCATGCTTTCGCAATAATGGCGCTGCAAACACAGCAGCTGATAGCTGCTAACAGCTAACGCTAACAGCTAACAGCTAACAGCTAACAGCTAACGCTAACAGCTAACAGCTAACAGCTAACAGCTAACAGCTAACAGCTAACAGCTAACAGCTAACGCTAACAGCTAACAGCTAACAGCTAACAGCTAACAGCTAACAGCTAACGCTAACAGCTAACAGCTAACGCTAACAGCTAACGCTAACAGCTAACAGCTAACAGCTAACAGCTAACGCTAACAGCTAACAGCTAACAGCTAACAGCTAACAGCTAACAGCTAACAGCTAACAGCTAACGCTAACAGCTAACGCTAACGCTAACAGCTAACAGCTAACAGCTAACGCTAACAGCTAACAGCTAACAGCTAACAGCTAACAGCTAACAGCTAACAGCTAACGCTAACAGCTAACAGCTAACAGCTAACGCTAACAGCTAACAGCTAACAGCTAACAGCTAACGCTAACAGCTAACGCTAACAGCTAACAGCTAACGCTAACAGCTAACAGCTAACAGCTAACAGCTAACGCTAACAGCTAACAGCTAACAGCTAACAGCTAACGCTAACAGCTAACAGCTAACAGCTAACAGCTAACGCTAACAGCTAACGCTAACAGCTAACGCTAACAGCTAACAGCTAACGCTAACAGCTAACAGCTAACAGCTAACAGCTAACAGCTAACGCTAACAGCTAACAGCTAACAGCTAACAGCTAACAGCTAACAGCTAACAGCTAACGAGGAGGCATCTAACTTACAAACTCATATCAGTGGGAGGTGAGAAAAGTTACATAATAATTCACTTTTATGGAAAATCTCACCTCAGCCCACACTGAGGCGTCCACCACAGACCGATCAGATGTTTGTGGGTTTGTAAAGCCATGTTGTAATATTATAGGTTTAAACGAGGTTAAAGGCTTTGGCTGACAATGTGTTTTATAATGGACCTATTTCTGCCCATTTTGTGTTAAATAAAATAAAAATCATAATTAAACCATATTCAGGATTTTATTGTATTAGCAATTTAAGACACATCTGTCCGTTATCCCAAAGAAACTGCACATACACTGCAAAAAGTGGAGAGAAATTAAAACCAGATTTTTGCTCAGACAAAATGCCAATTCTGAGCAATTCTGAGCTTATTTTTTATCACTTTTTGTCCGAGAATCCAAATTGAGTTAAAAATCATGTATTCTTCCACCACGACTTACCCCTGTGAGCTCTGTGCAGCAGGAGGAGGGAGGAGGAGGAGAGCGCTGGGACTGGAGCAGAAAGAGGCCGTTGTGTCTGGAGCAGGGGGGGGGGGCACAGGTGGTGTCAGGCCCAGGACGAGCAGCTGTGGGTGGGATACAGGAGCGTCTGTGGCTGCCTCTGTGGGGCTCAGCAGCTGCCACGTGCTGGAGAGAAATGTTTGTTTCTGTGGGCGGAGACTAGTGACCAGAGAGAGCAGAGGAGAGCAGATGAGAGAGAGCAGAGAGAGAGCAGAGAGAGCAGAGAGAGAGAGCAGAGTGAGAGCAGAGAGAGCAGAGAGAGAGAGCAGAGAGAGAGCAGAGGAGAGCAGATGAGAGAGAGCAGAGAGAGAGCAGAGAGAGCAGATGAGAGAGAGCAGAGAGAGAGAGCAGAGAGAGCAGAGAGAGAGAGAGAGAGCAGAGAGAGAGAGCAGAGAGAGCAGAGAGAGAGAGTAGAGAGAGAGAGCAGAGAGAGCAGAGAGAGAGCAGAGAGAGAGCAGAGAGAGCAGAGAGAGAGAGCAGAGAGAGCAGAGAGAGAGAGCAGAGAGAGAGCAGAGGAGAGAGAGCAGAGAGAGCAGAGAGAGAGAGCAGAGAGAGCAGAGAGAGACCAGAGAGAGCAGAGAGAGAGAGCAGAGAGAGAGACCAGAGAGAGCAGAGAGACCAGAGAGAGCAGAGATAGAGAGCAGAGAGAGCAGAGAGAGAGCAGAGAGAGACCAGAGAGAGACCAGAGAGAGAGAGAGCAGAGAGAAAGAGCAGAGAGAGCAGAGAGAGACCAGAGAGAGACCAGAGAGAGAGAGCAGAGAGAAAGAGCAGAGAGAGACCAGAGAGAGACCAGAGAGAGCAGAGAGAAAGAGCAGAGAGAGAGCAGAGAAGAGAGAAAGAGCAGAGAGAGCAGAGAGAGAGGAGAGAGAGCAGAGAGAGAGGAGAGAGAGCAGAGAGAGAGGAGAGAGAGCAGAGAGAGAGGAGAGAGAGCAGAGAGAGCAGAGGAGAGAGAGCAGAGAGAGAGAGCAGAGAGAGAGAGCAGAGAGAGAGAGCAGAGAGAGCAGAGCAGAGAGACCAGAGAGAGCAGAGAGAAAGAGCAGAGAGAGAGCAGAGAAGAGAGAGAGAGCAGAGAGAAAGAGCAGAGAGAGCGGAGAGAGAGGAGAGAGAGCAGAGAGAGAGGAGAGAGAGCAGAGAGAGAGGAGAGAGAGCAGAGAGAGCAGAGGAGAGAGAGCAGAGAGAGAGAGCAGAGAGAGAGAGCAGAGAGAGCAGAGCAGAGAGAGCAGAGAGAGAGAGAGCAGAGAGCAGAGCAGAGAGAGAGAGAGAGCAGAGAGAGCAGAGGAGAGAGCAGAGAGAGCAGAGAGAGAGAGCAGAGAGAGCAGAGGAGAGAGCAGAGAGAGCAGAGAGAGAGAGAGAGCAGAGCAGAGAGAGCAGAGAGAGAGAGCAGAGAGAGAGAGCAGAGAGAGCAGAGAGTAGAGGAGAGAGAGCAGAGAGTAGAGGAGAGCAAAGAGAGAGCAGAGACCAATGACCAGAGGAGAGACCACAGACAAGAGACCAAACACACTAGAGAAGAGGAGAAAGCAAAGAAAGAAGAGATGGAGAAGAGAGAGAGAGACAAGAAATACCAGAGGGCAGAGACACCAGAGAGACAAGAGACCAGAGAGACCATAAATCCCGAAGCCTGCATGTGTTTGTCTGTGATGTAGACTCTTTAAAAAGCGCTGCGACGACAACTTATTTATTCAAAATGAACTTTAATTAAAACTCATGTTAACGGTTTATGACAAGGCTCTGGACCAACATTTCCAGAGACAAAGATCCACTTCCACATAATACTTTAGGAGCAAGTTCACGGAGGAACATTCCGGAACAACTGTACAATCCAGTGCAGCGTCATACAAAATACGGAATACAATATTAAAAATAGCTTCTGTGTGAGGGAGAGAGGATCATACACAGGGCAGCGAGGGTTCGGTGCGACCCGAGGAGCAGAGGGTGTCGGCGTGCGTCTGTCCCGGGGCGGCTGTGGCGGCCCCCCTCCCTGTGGGGTCCTGGGAGCCCCGCGGCGTCTCGGTGTAGAACAGGATGTAGGCCTTGGCTTTGGTCACGGCCTCCTCGTCGGTCAGCGTCACGGTGCTGTCGTTGAAGTGGTACCAGCGACCTTCGTGGCAGCCGTACGCCGTGTAGTGACCCGAGCCCACTCTGCAGACGCACACACACACAGACACACACAGACAGAAAGACACGCACACACAGGCACACAAACAGAGACACACACACACACAGGCACAGTCAGAGACACACACACACACACACAGACACAGACAGAAAGACACGCACACACAGGCACACAGAAAGAGAGACACGCACACACAGGCACACAGAAAGAGAGACACACACAGGCACAGAGGCACACACACACAGGCACACAGACAGAGACACACACAGGCACACAAACAGAGACACACACACACACACACACACAGTCAGAGACACACACACACAGTCAGAGACACACACACACACACAGAAAGACACACACACACAGGCACAGTCAGAGACACACACACACACAGAAAGAGACACACACACACACACACACACAGAAAGAGACACACACACAGGCACAGAGGCACACACACACAGGCACACACACAGAAAGAGACACACACACACACACACACACACACACACACACACACAAAGAGACACACACACACACACACAGAAAGAGAGGCACACACAGAGAGACACACACACAAACTGTCACCACTGCTGCATGACAACAGGCAAACGGCTCCATCTAGTGGCCTATACATGCGCTCCACACAACAACTAATAAACACATCTAAGAAGGCGCCACAATTGTTTAAAACGCCCGATTGTGAAATTCATTCAAACTTCCTGCCACACAATGATTTACACTCTTTTACAGTTTCCCGGACCATTGTGTTCTGTTTGTGTGTTCATGTCCTGGGGATTTGTGTCTGTCGGTAATAATATTTCATGAAAATCCACGTTTGCCGCTGTATTAAGTCATAATATGGAAATAAGACGGGCACGTTTATTTCCTACATAAACTTCAGGTCATCCTTATTTCTCTAGTTTACATATAGCCTCTGTCTCTCAGCACTTTTCAGTTATAAAAAGGTTAACCCTAACACAGGTAAGGAAGTTTTAAATATTGATAATGTATTAATTAACTTAAGCTGGTCATTAAGATCATTCCACATTTTCTATCTATTTTTAACGTTAGATCTGGATTTTCTTGTTTCCAAATGAAGCACACCTCTCAGATTATAGAGACTTTTTATTTTGTACAACTCTGAATAAGATTTATAGAATGTTTAACTTGACTACGCCCATATATTTTAGCATGTTCTGTTTTATAAAAAGGTTTATTAGTAGAGTCACAATAACCCACTTTATTTATTAAACGTACTGCCCTTTTTTGTACTTTAATTATATTATTTATGTCAAAATAAAACCAAATGATTTATTCTTGTGTTTCATTAAACTGGCCTGTAGGGGGCGCATGAGCAGAGGTGGGACAGTTTGCTCTCCTCCTGTGCGGTGTACGGTAGTTGGACACTAAGGAAGTACTAAAAAATATTTCTCAAAAGAGTCTTGATTCCGGGCATTTTTGGAAAGAAAATGCCCGAAATCATTGGGGTGGCCTGCAGGGGGCGCTTATCTGGGAAAGCCTTGATCCACCTCGCCCGCCTCATTCCAGTGATTTTTTCAAAGTGTCCTCCTTTATATGAGACCACAGTTGGAACATGAACAAACTCTTGTCTTTCTCTATTTGTGCGGTTGCTACAAGCGTACACCGCACAAAAAGATGCTTCTTCTTCTACTATATCTCCGTGTATAAACCGCTATACCTCCGTTTCAAAGAGGGGAAGAGACTTTTTCAAACCAGTGTAAATCAAACTGGACATCACTGACCCTGATCCGTGGTGCACTGCGATGGCTGCCAGGTCATACAGGCAGCGCTCGGGGGCCGTGGTCTCGGGGGCCGCGGTCTCGGGGGCCGCGGTCTCGGGCTCCAGCAGGTATCGGGTCATGTCCAAGCTCCTCATGGGGAACTCCACAAACGTGTCCACTTTGTTCCTCATGAAGGTCGTCCAGTGGAACCGCTTCAGGTGTAGACACAGGACCTGCAACGCAACATATACACACAGACACACACACAGACAGACAGAGACACACACACAGACAGAGACACAGACACACACACGCACAGACAGACAGAGACACACACAGACAGAGACACACACACACAGATAGACAGAGACACACACACACGCACAGACAGAGACACACACACAGAGACACAGACACACACACGCACAGACAGACAGAGACACACACACAGACAGACAGAGACACACACAGACATATGCACAAACAGACACACACAGACAGACAGAGACACACACACACGCACAGACAGAGACACACACAGACATATGCACAAACAGACACACACAGACAGACAGAGACACACACACACACACACACACAGACGGACACAAAAACACGCACTTTACTTCCTGCCGCTGGGACCGTTACAAATAAACTGGTTACAAATGTTACCTTCGGCAGTTTCTTGATCCAGAATTTCTTTGTGGATTTTTGTCGTTTTTTGCATTTGAGACAATAATAAAGTTCAGTTTCATCCAGTTCTTCTAAATCAGTAAAACTCTGTAAACAATCTGAGAAACACACACAGTTATTATATTATTATCATGATCATTATCCTTATTATAGTATTATTATTATTATTATTATCATTAGTGCTAAACTGACCGTGCAAAGTGCAGGTGGGCCCCGGCTCCTGGTCCTTACTCTTCTTCTGCCTGAACTGACGTGGAATATCCAGAGACAGATCTGAGAGAAGAAGAACCATTATCGGCTGTTTTAGTCTCTCTCTCTCTCTCTCTCTCCCTCCCTCTCCCTCTCCCTCCCTCCCTCCCTCCCTCTCTCTCCCTCTCTCCCTCCCTCCCTCCCTCCCTCCCTCCCTCTCTCCCTCCCTCCCTCTCTCCCTCCCTCCCTCTCTCTCTCTCCCTCCCTCCCCCTCTCTCTCTCCCTCCCTCCCCCTCCCTCCCTCCCTCTCTCCCTCTCCCCTCCCTCTCCCCCTCTCTCCCTCCCTCTCCCTCCCCCTCTCCCTCCCTCCCTCCCCCCCCTCCCTCCCTCCCTCCCTCTCTCTCCCTCTCTCTCCCTCCCTCCCTCCCCCTCCCTCTCCCTCCCTCCCTCTCTCCCTCCCTCCCTCTCTCTCCCTCCCTCCCTCCCTCCCTCCCTCCCTCCCTCCCTCTCTCCCCCTCCCTCCTCTCTCTCCCTCCCTCTCCCTCCTCCCTCCCTCCCTCTCTCTCTCCCCTCCCTCTCCCTCCCTCTCCCTCCCTCCCTCCCTCTCTCTCCCTCCCTCCCTCCCTCTCTCTCCCTCCCTCCCTCTCTCTCCCTCCCTCCCCCCTCCCTCCCTCCCTCTCTCTCCCTCCCTCTCCCTCCCTCCCTCTCTCCCTCCCTCCCTCCCTCTCCCTCCCTCCCTCCCTCTCTCCCTCCCTCCCTCTCCCTCCCTCCCCTCCCTCCCTCTCCCTCCCTCTCTCTCCCTCCCTCCCCCCCTCTCTCTCCCTCCCTCTCCCTCCCTCCCTCCCTCTCCCTCCCTCCCTCCCTCCCTCCCTCCCTCCCTCCCTCCCTCCCTCCCTCCCTCCCTCTCCCTCCCTCCTCTCTCCTACTCTCTTCCTATGATTGACTGTTATGTCTGTATGTAACAGTCTAGTGTCATTAATGTCCTCTTTCGTATCCTTTTGTTTTGGGCCTAAAGTGAATCTAAAGCTGCCACTACTTCTCGTTACCAAACTCACCCAGAAAAGGGTCAAACTTGCGAGATTCAGTTCCACAGATTAAACAGTTGACTTCGTTCTGGAGAACTCCCCCAAACACACTGGTGACAACACTGGCATTTCCATCCCTGAAAGCAGCAGCAGGAGACGACAACGTTATTATCCAAAGAAGAATCTGCAGAGGCATAAAGAGCTACACAGATCTGAAGGAATAGAAATTTAAAAAAGGAATATTACAGGAAGGTTGGAGTAGGAATAGAAGTAGTACTAGCAGTAGCAGTAGTAGTAGTACTAGGGAAAAATTCTTGAAGAAGTTGCTTACCAACAACGTACACAGAATTTTTAGTAATTAAAAACTATTTTGATGCGCTCCAGCCCAGAGGACTGGGTTGGCGTCGCTGGTACCGCCCTAAGTTGGTTTAGGTCTTACCTTGAGGACAGGAAGTACTTTGTGGAGATTGGAAACTGTGTCTCAGATCATATGGCCCTGACCTGTGGAGTACCACAGGGGTCAATCCTGGGACCTCTTCTGTTCAATCTCTACATGCTGCCGTTAGGTCAGTTAATACGCAGAAACAAAGTTTCCTATCATAACTATGCAGACGACACTCAGATCTATGTCTCACTTACTGCAGGAGAACATGGACCAGTGGACTCACTCCTTCACTGTATCCAACAGATCAGTGAGTGGATGCAAAACAACTTCCTTCAGCTAAACGCAGACAAAACTGAAATGATTGTCTTTGGTCCCCAGAAACAAAGAGAGAGTGTCATCTGTCATCTACAGTCTCTCTCCCTAAAACCTTCAAATAAGGTCAGAAATCTAGGGGTAATACTGGACTCAGACTTAAATTTTAATAGCCACATCAAATCAGTAACATCAGCAGCCTTTTACCATCTAAAAAACATTGCCAGGATCAAAAACATAGTGTCTAAAGCAGACTTGGAGATTCTTATCCATGCATTTGTCTCCAGTAGGTTAGACTACTGCAATGGCCTGCTCACAGGTCTGTCCAAACAGGCTGTAAAACAGCTGCAGTACATTCAAAATGCAGCAGCTCGAGTCCTGACTAGAACCAGGAAGTACGACCACATTAGTCCTGACTAGAACCAGGAAGTACGACCACATTAGTCCTGACTAGAACCAGGAAGTACGACCACATTAGTCCTGACTAGAACCAGGAAGTACGACCACATTAGTCCAGTCCTCAGGTCTCTGCGCTGGCTTCCTGTGGCTCAGAGAATAGACTTCAAGGCAGCACCAAAGTACTTAAGCGACATGTTGGTGCCATATGAACCGGTCCGGACTCTGAGGAGCACAGGAGGAAGCCTATTGATGGTTCCAAGAGTCAGAACTAGACATGGGGAGGCAGCGTTTCAGATTTATGCCGCTAAAATCTGGAAGAATCTTCCTGAAGATGTGAGGCTGGCATCTACTCTGGCAGTTTTCAAATCCAGGCTAAAAACAGTTCTGTTTAGCTGTGCATACAACTGAGATTATATAGATTATAGATACTCTTTTTTTATGCATTATGGCTATTTATTTTAATCTCATGTGTCTTTTTTTCTTGTCTGGGGCTGGTGCTATGAGACTTGGGTGGCATCGCTGACTGCCACCCCCCTGACCCAGAAATGGATTAAAGGGCAGAAAATGGATAGATGGATGTGTCTTTTTGATGTTTTAAGGTTTTTAATTACTTGTGATTTTATTCTTTTTTTATTTTTTTTATTTTCTTGTATATGTAAATGTAGATTTTAATGTTTCTGATTTGTTTGATATGATGTGGGTTGTGAGGCGCTTTGAGTTGCCTTGTGTTGGAAAGGCGCTACACAAATAAAAGTTGATTGACTGATTGATACTAGTAGTAGCAGTAGTAGAACTAGCAGTAGTAGCAGTAGTAGAACTAGCAGTAGTAGCAGTAGTAGAACTAGCAGTAGTAGAACTAGCAGTAGTAGCAGTAGAACTAGCAGTAGTAGCAGTAGAACTAGCAGTAGTAGCAGTAGTAGAACTAGCAGTAGTAGCAGTAGTAGAACTAGCAGTAGTAGCAGTAGAACTAGCAGTAGTAGTAGTAGCAGTAGTAGAACTCTTGTTTGGCAAAATGGGTGAAAATAAAAGTGTCTAATTTGGTACTTGAAATGTGTCTCTGTTTGGTCCAGTTCTGTTTGGTCCAGTTCTGTTTGGTCCAGTTCTCTTTGGTCCAGTTCTCTTTGGTCCGGTTCTCTTTGGTCCAGTGCATCATAGTAAGTCACAGGTCGTGGATGAAAGAAACAGATGAATGTCTTTGATAATGAAAGGAGGAGTCACTCACAGCTCCTTGTCTCCTGACGCCTCCTCCTGCTCAGACTCTGGCACCTCCCCGTTCCTCCCGCTCTGCAGCTCCCTGTGGAGGTGATCCAGGAGGTACCGCATGAACTCATGGGCGTCCTGCTGCTGGAAGCCCCTGAAAAACAAACCATGACAAGGCAAAAGCAGTCAATCTGACGGCTTTTTGTTTTGGAAGTGTTCTTACTCTGCTTGTGTACGTTTTTGGTTTTCATGCTTCTAATTATAGATTATTTCTATGTCATTAAGTTTATGAGATTATCTGGCCCTGGACTTTTTGTAGAAAGTGCTTAGCTTCCATGGAGATGGAGATAGAGATAGAGATAGAGATAGAGAGAGAGACCAGAGAGACCAGAGAGAGACCAGAGAGAGAGAGAGAGACCAGAGAGAGAGAGAGAGACCAGAGATAGAGAGAGACCAGAGGGAGAGAGAGAGACCAGAGAGAGAGAGAGAGACCAGAGAGAGAGAGAGAGACCAGAGACAGAGAGAGAGAGAGAGAGACCAGAGATAGAGAGAGACCAGAGGGAGAGAGAGAGACCAGAGATAGAGAGAGACCAGAGAGAGAGAGAGAGACCAGAGAGAGAGAGAGAGACCAGAGAGAGAGAGAGAGACCAGAGAGAGAGAGACCAGAGAGAGAGAGAGAGACCAGAGAGAGAGAGAGAGACCAGAGAGAGAGAGAGACCAGAGAGAGAGAGAGACCAGAGAGAGAGAGAGAGACCAGAGAGAGAGAGAGAGACCAGAGAGAGAGAGAGACCAGAGAGAGAGAGACCAGAGATCCAGAGATGCTGTATTTCAGTTGGAATCACATTTTGCATGACTTAATTGTAATAAAAGGGGGGAGTGTCATAGGGCGGTGTTAAGGGGGGGGTCACAGGGTGGTGTTACCTGAAGCTGGGCATGAGCTTCCAGATGGTGTAGAACAGAGAGTCTGGGCTGAAGGCGCTCTGGTTCCCCTGCCACAGAGAGCACAGCGTCTTCCTCACCTCCTCCACCAGGTTTCTGAGAGAGACAGAGCTTTGATGAGTGCGCAGTAGCTTGATGGTTGCTTGATGGTTGCTTGATGGTTGGGTCACTCACACGTTGGTGTCCCCCTGTCTGCGGGTGTGGTACATGCGTCCTGCTGCTTTCCCCCCCAGCTGTGCAGCTGCTGGAAGAGCCTTGAAGTAACAAGAAAACTGCTCCACGTTACTGTAGGAGAGAAGAGGTCAGTTAGAGGAGGGGACTGTGTCTCTCCCTCTCTTTCCCCTTTCTCCCCCCTTCTCTTCCTTCCCTTTCTATCCCTCTCTTTATCTCCCTTTACCCTCTCCCCCCTCTTTTTCTATCTCCCTCCCTCCCCCTCTCTCACTCACAATTTCAAACTATTGCACAGATAAAAATACATATTCTAATAGTTTTTCACTTTGTGTGGAATGAGCTTCAAAGTTCTGTCAGACTCTAATCCTGCCTCTGCCCCAGACTGACCTAACACAGAGCTTTGAGGCCCTCGGACCCCGTCAGACCTGGGACTGGATCCAAGACTACAGCTGTGATACAAAGATGCATTGACTGAAATTGAAGAGGACTGTATTAGTTTTACCTGAGGGACTGTAGGATCGCATTCATGAAGCAAGTGTTCCCGAGGTTCCTCAAACCTGTCGCTGCTAAAGTGCCTCCTTCCTACAAGAGAATACAGAATACATACAGAATAATCAACACCAGAAGCCAGAAGGTTGTGGGTTCGAGCCCACCATAAGACTTTCTCCACCAACTCCCACTGATGTCTGCTGTCGATGTGTCCTTAGGCAAGACACTTCACCCCCATTGCCTAGAATGAGTCTGGTGTGTGTGTGAATGGTTGGTGGTGGTGGGAGGGGCCGATGGCACAGACTGGTTGCCTCGCTTCTGTCAGCGTGCCCCAGGGCAGCTGTGGCTACAGTAGTAGTTTATCACCACCGTGTTTGGAGTGAGAGAGTCCAAAAAAGCACTTTATTAAACCGATGCATTATTATTATTTTCATTATTATAAAAACCCTGATTAACACATTATAACGAGGGCCGGGACAAGAATACTATGTTCAACTATTTTTGACAAATTTTAACGCATTTCGGACCACGCGGGTTCGTAAGACTTGGTTGTATTTAGTCATTTCATTTAGTGTTAAATGAACTGGAACTGTAAATGATTTTGTGTTGATAGGGGGCAGACATTATAAGTTTTTGCTTCTTTCTGCTCATTTTCATCCATGAGTTGGATGTGTTTTATCCAAACATTCAGACTGTGTTAAAACAAGATCTGCCAATGAGACAAAGACATTTAGTGAATTCTTGGATCTTTTAAAAACAACATAATTTCCCATTAGCGAATAGTGTTTCAAGGCTGACAAAATGCAGTCAATTTTAGATGCATTTTTCCAAATTAGAGCAATTTTTTACTTATTTTTCATCATTTTTTGCAAATAAATATGACATTTAATAACATTTACACCAGAAACTTACATTAGCTTTAAGTACTTTGTTGTCTGGACCAACATCGTCTTGAGTTTTTCGTTTTCTCTCACCGTCGGATCCACTTCCTGCACTAAAAACACATTATTCTGAGCAAAAAAATAAATCATATTTTTGACAGATTAAACAACAAAGTGGAATTTACTTTTCTGAATTCTGCAAATGTTCTCTAATCTTCTGGACTTTTCCGAGTTCTGTGTCATTGACCACGAACTCGTCGCATCTGTAACTGGAGAAAACGATATTAAAAATGTGTCTTTAAACAGCACTGAAGTGAAGTCTTACCAGAAAATGCTAAAGTTGGAGCAGTCCATGCAGACGCAGTGAGAGTCCCCTTTGTGGTCCTCAAAGTGCTTTAGTGCGTGTCCACTCACATATCTGCAACACAAACACACACACAGACACACACACACACACACACACACACACACACAGACACAGACACACACACACAGACACAGACACACACACAGACAGACACAGACACACACAGGCACACACAGACAGACACTAACACAAACACACACACACAGACAGACACAAACACACACACAGACATACAGACATAGACACAGACACAGACAAACACACAGACAGACACAAACACACACACACACACACACACACAGACAGACACAAACACACACACACACAGAGACATACAAACATAGACACAGACACACACACAGGCACACACAGACACACACAGACAGACACAAACACACACACACACACACACAGACATACAGACATAGACACAGACACAGACAAACACACAGGCACACAGACAGACACAGACACACACACACACAGACACACAAACACACACACACACACACACACACACACACACACACACACACACACACACAGACATACAGACATAGACACAGACAAACACACAGGCACACAGACAGACACAAACACAAACACACACAGACACACACAGGCACACACAGACAGACACAAACACAAACACACACACACAGACAGACACAAACACACACACACACAGACATACAGACACAGACACAGACAAACACACAGGCACACAGACAGACACAGACACACACACACACAAACACACACACAGGCACACACGCACACACAGGCACACAGACAGACACAAACACAAACACACACAGACATACAGACATAGACACAGACACACACAGACACAGACACACACACACAGACAGACACAAACACAAACACACAGACAGACACAAACACACACAGACATACACAAACACAAACACACACACACACAGACACAGACAGCCACACAAAAAGGCAGACATAGATAGACACACACACACAGATACAGACACACACAGACGCACACACACAGGAAAACAGCATATTTTTAGAGGTTAGATTAAATAATACATGATAAAATATAGTAAATATTTGATGATAAAATGATTCAGCCGCTCACCTTCCACAGTGCACTCGCAGACAGGTTAGACAGATCCAAGAGCTTTGGTCAGATTTACACTCTGGAATAAACACAGGGTGATTTAGGGCTAAACTAAAATAAAATTAATAAATCAAACTCAACACAAATAGTGGAAACCAAACCTTTTCGTCCAATTTGTTTATTCTCACTGAAAGAGCCTTAACAGTAAAATGCATTATCATTTGCATAGAAACCAGTATGAGCTGATAAGGTGGTTACTTCAGATTTAGATTTTTGCAGCTAAAGTGCAAAAATCTAAATGAGTGTTCCTGAAAATGTGAGACAGGCTTCTTCTCTGTCAATGTTTAAATCCAGGTTAAAAACAGTTCTGTTTAACTGCTACAACTGATGGATTATATCTTCACTCTTTTTAATGTACTGTGTATTTTGATGTTTGATGAAATGTGCTGAACAAATAACTTCCTTACTTCTAATGTACTTTTCCCGCATAGTAAGTAAGTAAGTAAGTTTTTATTTATATACCGCCTTTTCACAGCAGATCTGAGTCTCAAAGCGGTTTCCAATTGTTAATTTTGGGCATTTGTCTCTCACTCCACACAGAGATGGGAGCGGGGCCAGTACAGGAGGCGCATGCCAGAACTATTGGACATATTTTTAGTGGTAGGGGAAACCGGAGTACCCGGAGGAAACCTACGCAGACACGGGGAGAACATGCAAACTCCACTCAGAAAGGCCCTGGTCCAACCGGGATTCGAACCCAGGACCTTCTTGCTGAGAGGCGAGAGTGCTATCCACTCAGTGATCAAGGCACAAAAACATAAACGTAAAACTAGTGACGATCCCAAACATGTATTATACTGGCAAAAATTTGAAAGGTTGAAAAATAGGTACCCTGGCTTTAAATGCATGCCAAAGTCCAGATTTCAAAATGACATGTGGCATTTCCTGATCTCAGCTAAACCAACTGCACATCCAGGGTCTATAAACTATACAGACATTATACAGTTATATGCATTGATCTTATGTTTATGGTTATCAACACGTAGCCAGCCTGCACACCTTCGCAGCTCCAGGAGGACGGGGAGCCCCGGGGGAAGGCACCGGAGTCCAGCGGTAATGAGCCCACACTGCAGCCGAGATGAGGGCACTCCATCTGGGTCACGCGTCACAAAAAAGTCTGCAGCAAAAACGCACGGAGCTCACGAGACGGACGCAACACAGGGAAGCGAGCATCCGCCGGGCTAGCGTGCTAACCGGAAGTAGCATCAGCACACGTTCAAAGTCTGGAGGCAAAACAACAACAATACGAAACACGACAGCATGAACCGGACTTGTTGCAGAATTGCGAGTAATTTTACACACGAAATCTGGTGTGTTGCAATCTGTGGTGAGATAATTTATCCTTACCATAAACAAATGGAAATATCTTTTTTTTATTTCTTTTTTTTTCCTTTTAAAGCATGTATTTTATTCTTTTTTGGATTTTTTTTTTATATATAATTAAATTTTTATTAAGAAGAACACAAGATCGGTCAGACAAATTAAAGAATGTACAAAAATGAGGCTCTCCCTTTTTCCTTTTTAAACCCCCTCTCTTCACTCTCTTCAGAACTCTGAAGCTAAGAAGGGCATGGCCTGTTTATTACTGTGATGGGAGACCTCTGGGAACACTAGCTGCCTCGATGGGGTGGCTGCAGATTTAAAGTGCAAAACTGTGGTTGTGTCCTAAGGCAAGACACTTCCCCCACATTAGAATGAGTCTGGTGTGTGTGAATGGTTGGTGGTGGTGAGAGGGGCCGATAGCACAGACTGTTTGCCTCGCTTCTCTCAGTGTGAAAAGAAAATAGATGTATATGGGTTTTCTTGATTCGGTTTGTTTCTTATGCACTTATTTACTTGAGACAATCTTATTTGTGAGTGATTAATTCCTGTGAACTTGGTGTGTGTTTGTAATGGGAGCGGTTAGAGAGTCAACGCTGATAAACAAGTCCATATCTTTATTGCAACAACAAAACTCTGGTGGAAACTCTGGTGGAAACAGGACTCCAGAATCATAACACACATAACAGTCCATAGTAAACATGTCCGCCATTTTAATAATAACAGCAGTCACATGATCAGTATAAAAAGAGCACCAGAGTGACCAGAGAAACAGTCAGTTCAGTCATTTAACTATTTGAATATCAAGTCTAGAGCATTGTCAAGTCTCGGTCTCCCATCTCTGTGTCTGTCAAGTCTCGGTCTCCCATCCCTGTGTCTGTGGCTACGATCGTGGACTGGTTTTGCTTCACGACACCTCCACGTCCCGCAGAGGCACGTCCTGGGGCCTATTCCCTGCTCTTCCCGCCTTCGTTGCTGCTTCCTTTTTCCTAAAACAGACACAAACAACATTTAGACACCTGCCATGTCATTTCTGTACATGTTTGTTCGTGTATCTCAGTCTGACTCACTTCGACATTACGGTTAAAACGACAACGGTGATGATTATGGCACAGACGATGACGCCCAGAATCACTCCACAGATGATCGCTGTAATGAGAATAATGGAAAATTGTTGAATATATTGATTTAATGTTGAAACTTCTGCCTTTATGCCTTTAATGGTTGTTTGTTCTCACCAACAGGAGTGTCTGATTCATAGTCCTCGTCCTCTTCTCTGTCATCTAAACACACACACATCCAGGATGAATAAAAACAATAAAAACAGCTTCATGGTTTGCCACAGATGAAAAATCAGATACAAAATTGTTGAATGTAAATTACTGATATGGTTCAATTTAAGATATTCTTTAGGTTTCTTTTCTCTGAGCATGAGGAGACATTGATGAATGCTGATTTTGTTTACAAAGCACTTTTCTTACACAAAATGCAACACAAGTTTGGTTAAAAACACACACACACACGAAAAATAGCTAAAACCATGAAAAGATTTAAGGCTGGGTGCCAGAGTAACCATCCGAGGAGCCGTCTGCAATAGGAGCAGAGAGCGGCCCGCAGCCAAAGGGGATGACACAGGACCCAGAGGAGACAGGAGCCCCCAGACCCCCATCAGGTCCAAGAGTCAGACCCACAGCTGACTTCCACTCCCAGTGCAGAGGGCTCGTATAAAGGAAACACTGGATACTAAACCAGGGACCAGGTCTGCAAACTAGCTACACGGCCTATGAACATCAGTTCCTGTAACTAGTGTGACGATATATCGATATATCGCGATACTTTCTCCCGCGATTCGATTATTGATATGCATTTGCCAAATATCGATATTTATTTTGAAAAAAAATTGAAGTATTATTTTCTTTTCTTTTTTACAAATGTTTTATTTTAATTGGTATCAATACTTAATATATGGCTACATTACGCATCTCCATTCCATTTATCAGGAAATAAAGTGTATTTTTTCTTTAATTTATGCAATAAATTGGCATATTGTATATTTCTGACCAATTTATAGATAATCGTCATATCGTGATAAAATCATTATCGTGATAATATTGTTATCGTGATAATATTGTTTGTATCGTATCGTATCGTGAGGTACCCTTAGGTCCTTCACAATATATAATGTCTCGCTCACAAAACCACACCATATCTGTCTTTTTCCTTTTTTTCTTCTCCAAATAACCATTGATAGATTATTGGTTGTTTGAGTAGTATTCGAGTACAGTATCTGAGTAATCAATCCAAGTAGAGTACTCGAGTACAGTACCCAAACACAGTATCTGAGAACAGTATCCGAGTACAGTATTTGAGTACAGTACCCAAACACAGTATCTGAGAACAGTATCCGAGTAAAGTATTTGAGTACAGTGTTGGTCTGAGTAAAGTATCCGAGTACTGTGCCCTCACCGTGGATGCCGTTGCAGGTGGCGTTGCAGACTTCGATGTCTGTGAAGCGGTTCCCGTTGCCGTAACAACCAGAATAGTGGAACCTTCTGCAGCGATCATAAACCGAGTCGTAGTAGTATCTCAGCAGCGTCAGACCACACTTTCCTTTGGCCTTTGGGAAGTGGCAGGCCAGGGTCACTGCGGAACAGAGGGTCACTACCATAGGCAGTCACTACCATGAACAGTCACTACCATGAACAGTCACTACCATAGACAGTCACTACCATGAACAGTCACTACCATGAACAGTCACTACCATGAACAGTCACTACCATGAACAGTCACTACCATAGACAGTCACTACCATGAACAGTCACTACCATAGGCAGTCACTACCATGAACAGTCACTACCATGAACAGTCACTACCATGAACAGTCACTACCATAGACAGTCACTACCATAGGCACTACCATGAACAGTCACTACCATGAACAGTCACTACCATAGACAGTCACTACCATGAACAGTCACTACCATGAACAGTCACTACCATGAACAGTCACTACCATAGACTGTCACTACCATAGACTGTCACTACCATAGACAGTCACTACCATGAACAGTCACTACCATAGACTGTCACTACCATAGACAGTCACTACCATGAACAGTCACTACCATGAACAGTCACTACCATAGGCAGTCACTACCATGAACAGTCACTACCATAGACAGTCACTACCATGGACAGTCACTACCATAGACAGTCACTACCATGAACAGTCACTACCATAGACAGTCACTACCATGAACAGTCACTACCATAGACAGTCACTACCATAGACAGTCACTACCATGAACAGTCACTACCATGAACAGTCACTACCATAAACAGTCATTACCATAGACAGTCACTACCATAGACAGTCACTACCATAGACAGTCACTACCATAGGCAGTCACTACCATGGACAGTCACTACCATAGACAGTCACTACCATAGACAGTCACTACCATGAACAGTCACTACCATAGACAGTCACTACCATAGACAGTCACTACCATAGACTGTCACTACCATAGACAGTCACTACCATAGACTGTCACTACCATAGACAGTCACTACCATAGACAGTCACTACCATCGGCAGTCACTACCATAGACAGTCACTACCATAGACAGTCACTACCATAGACAGTCACTACCATAGACTGTTACTACCATAGACAGTCACTACCATAGACAGTCACTACCATAGACAGTCACTACCATAGACAGTGACTACCATAGACAGTCACTACCATAGACAGTCACTACCATAGACAGTCACTACCATAGACTGTCACTACCATAGACAGTCACTACCATGAACAGTCACTACCATAGACTGTCACTACCATAGACTGTCACTACCATAGACAGTCACTACCATAGACAGTCACTACCATAGACTGTCACTACCATAGACTGTCACTACCATAGACAGTGACTACCATAGACAGTCACTACCATAGAGTGTCACTACCATAGACAGTCACTACCATAGACAGTCACTGCCATAGACAGTCACTACCATAGACAGTCACTACCATAGACTGTCACTACCATAGACTGTCACTACCATAGACAGTCACTACCATAGACAGTCACTACCATAGACAGTCACTACCATAGACAGTCACTACCATAGACTGTCACTACCATAGACAGTCACTACCATGAACAGTCACTACCATAGACTGTCACTACCATAGACTGTCACTACCATAGACAGTCACTACCATAGACAGTCACTACCATAGACTGTCACTACCATAGACTGTCACTACCATAGACAGTCACTACCATAGACTGTCACTACCATAGACTGTCACTACCATAGACTGTCACTACCATAGACAGTCACTACCATAGACAGTCACTACCATAGACAGTCACTACCATGGACAGTCACTACCATAGACAGTCACTACCATAGACAGTCACTACCATGGACAGTCACTACCATAGACAGTCACTACCATAGACAGTCACTACCATAGACTGTCACTACCATGAACAGTCACTACCATAGACAGTCACTACCATAGACAGTCACTACCATGAACAGTCACTACCATGAACAGTCACTACCATAGACAGTCACTACCATAGACAGTCACTACCATAGACAGTCACTACCATAGACTGTCACTACCATAGACAGTCACTACCATAGACTGTCACTACCATAGACAGTCACTACCATAGACAGTCACTACCATCGGCAGTCACTACCATAGACAGTCACTACCATAGACAGTCACTACCATAGACAGTCACTACCATAGACTGTTACTACCATAGACAGTCACTACCATAGACAGTCACTCCCATAGACAGTCACTACCATAGACAGTCACTACCATAGACTGTCACTACCATAGACTGTCACTACCATAGACTGTCACTACCATAGACAGTGACTACCATAGACAGTCACTACCATAGAGTGTCACTACCATAGACAGTCACTACCATAGACAGTCACTGCCATAGACAGTCACTACCATAGACAGTCACTACCATAGACTGTCACTACCATAGACAGTCACTACCATAGACAGTCACTACCATAGACAGTCACTACCATAGACTGTCACTACCATAGACAGTCACTACCATGAACAGTCACTACCATAGACTGTCACTACCATAGACTGTCACTACCATAGACAGTCACTACCATAGACAGTCACTACCATAGACTGTCACTACCATAGACTGTCACTACCATAGACAGTCACTACCATAGACTGTCACTACCATAGACTGTCACTACCATAGACTGTCACTACCATAGACAGTCACTACCATAGACAGTCACTACCATGGACAGTCACTACCATAGACAGTCACTACCATGGACAGTCACTACCATAGACTGTCACTACCATGAACAGTCACTACCATAGACAGTCACTACCATGAACAGTCACTACCATGAACAGTCACTACCATAGACAGTCACTACCATAGACAGTCACTACCATAGACAGTCACTACCATAGACTGTCACTACCATAGACAGTCACTACCATAGACTGTCACTACCATAGACAGTCACTACCATAGACAGTCACTACCATCGGCAGTCACTACCATAGACAGTCACTACCATAGACAGTCACTACCATAGACAGTCACTACCATAGACTGTTACTACCATAGACAGTCACTACCATAGACAGTCACTACCATAGACAGTCACTACCATAGACAGTCACTACCATAGACAGTCACTACCATAGACTGTCACTACCATAGACTGTCACTACCATAGACTGTCACTACCATAGATAGTGACTACCATAGACAGTCACTACCATAGAGTGTCACTACCATAGACAGTCACTACCATAGACAGTCACTGCCATAGACAGTCACTACCATAGACAGTCACTACCATAGACTGTCACTACCATAGACTGTCACTACCATAGACTGTCACTACCATAGACAGTCACTACCATAGACAGTCACTACCATAGACTGTCACTACCATAGACAGTCACTACCATGAACAGTCACTACCATAGACTGTCACTACCATAGACTGTCACTACCATAGACAGTCACTACCATAGACAGTCACTACCATAGACTGTCACTACCATAGACTGTCACTACCATAGACAGTCACTACCATAGACTGTCACTACCATCGACTGTCACTACCATAGACAGTCACTACCATAGACTGTCACTATATTGTGACAGATCTATTCAACTTCTGTCAGAATCAATCCCAGTCTGATCCAGCCCATCAAAGATCAGAGAGAGAGAGAGAGACCAGAGAAGGAGAGACAGTAGAGACCAGAGAGAGGCCAGAGGGAGACCAAAGAGAGAGATCACAGAGAGAGAGAGAGAGCAGGGAGAGAGACCAGCGGGAGACCAGAGCAAGAGAGAGAGACCATAAACCAGAGAGAGAGACCTGGGAGACCAGAGAGAGACCATAAAGAGAGACTAGAGAGTGAGACCGGAGAGAGAGAGAGAGAGCAGGATGAGAGACCCAAGAGAGAGACCATAGGGAGACCATGAGAGAGAGATCAGAGAGAGAGACCAGAGATAGAGACCTCCCTGGTCTCTCTCTTGTCTCTAGTCTCTCCTTCTCTGGTGAGACCAGCGAGAGACCAGAAAGAGAGACTGGAGAGCGAGACCAAAGAGAGAGAGAGAGAGCAGGGTGAGAGACCCGAGAGAGAGACCAGAGGGAGACCATGAGAGAGAGACCAAAGAGAAACCAGAGGGAGACCAAAGAGAAAGACATCAGAGAGAGAGAGCGAGAGAGTAGGGAGAGAGACCAGAGAGAGAGACCAGATAGGCCAGCGAAAGACCAGGGAGAGAGAGCAGAGAGAGACCAGAAAAAGACTAGAGAGCGAGACCGGCGAGAGAAACCAGGGAGAGAGACCAGAGGGAGACCATGAGAGAGTGACCAAAGAGAAACCAGAGGGAGACCAGAGAGAAAGAGATCAGAGAGAGAGAGCGAGAGAGTAGGGAGAGAGACCAGAGAGAGAGAGACCATATAGGCCAGCGAAAGACCAGGGAGAGAGACCAGAAAAAGACTAGAGAGCGAGACCGGCGAGAGAGACCAGATAGAGACCATGAGAGAAAGACTAGAGAGAGAGAGAGAGACCAAAGATACCATCCATCCATCCATTTTCTACCCTTTAATCCATTTCTGGGTCAGGGGGGTGGCAGTCAGAGATACCACCCAAGTCTCATAGCACCAGCCCCTCACTGACCCTCTGCAGGTGGTGAGTCCACAGGAGGACGGCTGCTCTCTGAGTGTGAGCATAGCCTTGATCTTTCAGTGGGGGCTTTTGGGCAAAGTGGGGTTAAGTGTCTTGCCCAAGGACACAATGACAGCAGTCATCAGTGGGAGTCGGTGGAGAAGGTGCAGAGGTGGGAATGAACCCACGACCTTCTGGCCTTAAGGCCAATGCTCTACCAACTGAGCTACTGTCGCCCCAGAGAGATACCAAATAAACAAATCCAAAACAAACAGACATTTTAGGGGGTAATAAAACCAGCCCAGACACTCACGGTCCATGGGATAGACCTGCTCAGCTTTGGCCGAGCAGTTCCGGATGCAGTCTCTCTCATTTTTGAAGCGGTTGGCGTTTCCTCCTTCGCCTTTGAACAGAAGTGGCTGGCACTGGTCCAACACCGGGTCGTAGAACACTGACTGTATGAAGTATTCCCCCGTGCCCTCATCTTTGGGCAGCCGGCAAAAATCTGAGACAGAGATAAGACAGGTTTTTTATTATCAACGTTTTTCAGTCTTCATTCAAAACTAATTCTCTCCTCCATAAACATTTCAGCTGTACATATAAGTCTGCATCTCTTATTGTCTCTGGACCTGTTGGATTATTTTTCATTCTGTTATTACAACTACTTTAAATGGTCAAAATGCAGCAGTTTGAGTCCTGACAAGAACCAAGAAGTACCATCACATTAGTCCATCAGGTCAGACATCAGAGAATAGACTAGAATAGAAGAGAGAAGCAGCTCTCCTTGTGTACAAGTCTCTGTCGGGTTAGTTCCACATGAATCAAGGAGGACTCTGAGCAGCACAGGCACTGGACTCTGAGGAGTACAGGGACTGGACTCCTGCTGGGACTCTGAGGAGCACAGGGACTGGCCTCCTGCTGGGACTCTGAGGAGCACAGGGACTGGCCTCCTGCTGGGTGCCCAAGGTCGATACATGGAGAGGCTCATTTTAGATTAATGCAGCCAAAATCTGGAACAATCTTTCTGAAAATGTGAGACTACTGTGAATCTCCAGGGATTTTTTATAATATGCCATACAAATAAACTTGCTTTGCCTTGTCCGCCTTTTGCAAAGATACAGGCTCATGTAAGATCATTCACATCATATACAGAGGTCGGTGTAACTTTACTAATCGACACAATTGTACTACATTTTCAGAAAATAATTGACAATGTTGAATATTTTGATCCTTTTTGATTGGTCCAGACGGGGCATTCTTACACAGCAGTAGATGGAGTCATTCTTTGGTGATCTCTCGTGCACTTATGGCACCCACACTCCGTACGTGAAAGACGCAAAAGCTGAGTAATGATTAACCCACGCAGTCCCACTCCTTGTTTTTATGGCGGTGATAAAAAATATTGTTGAAGGCAGAACTCAGGCCGCCCGCCCTTTTCACACAGAAGTGCTTACAAACGCCTTTACTTCCCTTGTCATTAACTTAAACACCACTGCAAAAGAAAATAACTATTTCTGCCTCTTTTTGAACGCTTTTTTTAAATCCCCAGTTTATACAAACAGACCCCGATCTGACCCGGAACTCTGATGAGGACAATTACTGAGGAAGGAAACGGGAGGAAGAACAAGAGTGCTCTGTGTTATTAAACTTTGGGAAGTGTGAAAATATAAGACAACATTTTTTGTGATTTTGAACTAAACTGTTTAAACTAAAATGTCTTACAAGCAAAATTACTATTAGCAGATCGTAAGAGAAGCCATGTGGAGAGGCCTTCTGTATAAAACACCCAGCTACACTGCAAAAAAGTGATGAAAAATAAGTCAAAAATTGCTCAAATTTGGCAAAATGTGTCTTGATTTGAGCATATTTTGACTGGCTAAATAATCTTGTTTTAAAAAGATACAGAAATGTCTCACTTGAAATGACAAAATTAAGTAACAGTTTTTGAAAATAGACTAAATGGCTTTGTCCCATTGGTGAATCTTGCTTTAACACAGTCAGAATATGCTCGGATTAAGACAAAACCCACTCGATTCAAGCAATTGATACCTCATATTCTATCATTTTTTTTCAGTGTATAAAGGTACTATCGTAGCCATTGAATTGTAAATGGTTGAATGAGATTGGTTTTACCTGGGATCAAGTGTCCGAAGTGAACCAGGGTCACAGAGATTCCTAAAAACAGTAGGAGCTTCATGGCCGATGTCTTCGTCTAAAGCTGGACACGCAGAGATGGGAGACTGGGGCCGCGGGGGGAACCTTTGGACTGCACTGACGGCGCCTTTTACCTAATCGAAACTAAATAAGGTTTTATGGCACCTGCAGATAAGGTGGAAGTCCTCTGAGTCAGTCACTGCACCAATCATCACCGTCCATTATAATGCATTGTAAAACCTTTCCACCGCTGACCTGAAGTCAAAAATTGCTAAAACTTGGCAAAATGTGTTAATTTGAGCACATTTGGACAAGATTTTCCGATGAGACAAAGCAAAATGATCTTGTTTTAAAAAGATACAAGATTTTTTTTTTCTTGGAATGAGAAAATAAAGCCACAGTTCTTGAAATAAGACTAAATCTCTTTGTCCCGTTGGAGAATCTTGTTTTAAGACGTCAGAATGAACTAGAATTAACTAAAAACCACTTGATTTAAGCAATAATACCTACATTTTTTATCATATTTAGCAGTGAACAACGAATGGATGAGTTATTTTTTAAAACCATCAAACTAAAAATAATTCTAATTGTATTGTATTGATCATTATTGCAGACTTGTCGCTTGTAAAGACTGTGGTGTGAGGCCTTAGAACACAGAAGATCCAAAACATAAACATTATTTTCAACTTATTCACTAACTACCTCTCAATTATGGCAAACTTAAATGTTATGTTAGGATACAATGTTATTCAAATTCAATTCAATGTATTTTTGTACAGCCCTAAATCACAGCAGCAGTCGTCTTGGTGGTGGACAAAGTTGTAGATTCACCAACAACAGATCAGAGAATCCAACAGTTCGAACACAGAAAAATACAATAATAACCAAGCCAGTGGTCCATAGGGAGTGGGATGACCATAAATGTGAATAAATGTCCATAAATGTCCTTAAAAACCAGTGTGATGTCTGTTATAGTGCATTTCCACACAGAGAGCAGCAGATGGCGCTAGAGTGAAGTAGTAAACTAGAATAGAGAAAGCACATTTCAGACAGATTCGGTCCAAAAATATTCATACATTGTTATATTGATGCAGCAATAGTTTTAACGCAGTTGTGGGTTCGATTCTGGGTCTTTTTGTTTGGGCCACGACGTTATCAGAGAAGGTCATTTCAACACCGTTCCCTTTGACTCGCCTAAATACCTTTTTTAATCATGCTACTATGGATTTATATATGTTTTTGAACAATAACACGTTAACACTACACCTCCCGGAGCATTTGGCAGTGTAATCACTCAACTCATGTAATGTTTGATCTTCATAACTTTCTGTTGAAACCGTTGAAACGTGGAGTAGAGAAAGCGCTGGTAACCATAGCAACATGGCGTCGACCTGCTACCAGTTAGCATTAGCCTTTAAACAAACTATATTTTTCTGTATTTAAAGTTATATTCAGCAGTTTTAACACTTATCATGAGTTATTACAAGTAAATTTGAATAAAAATAAAAAATAAACTCGCTAACTTCCATTGATATGAATGGGAGTTATACAAGTTTATTATTACTTCTGGGTGTTTTAACGCAGATATCAGTACAGAGATTTAATCCAAAATGACCACATATTTTAGTGAAATAGAAGTCCAGCTGCCTCTAGAGACGTGCGCGCTCCCTGGAGGGATGCTTGTGCGTGTGCGTGTGTCCGTGTGCGTGTGCGTGTTTTCTTCCCGTCATTCCCTGAAGACCGAGGCTGAGGTCGGGGATATAAAAGCGGGTGGATGACGGGCACCGCGCGCACAGCTGCTCCTCGCGCTCAGACGTGATGAAGATGAAGATGAGGAGCGGGTTCACCTCCTTACTGCTCCTGCGCGCGGCTTCTCTGCTCCATGGTAATGACCCCAGCCCTTTCAATAAAACATTTAGAGAAATCAACAATGAGTGACCATGTGTGCTTTCTCTTGTTTCAGCTGCCAAATGGACTTACTCCGGTGAGTCACTGCAGAACTTTATCCACGTGTTTTCAAAGCCTCAGACTTTATTTAGTTTGGTTTGACTTTTGTCTCTGTGTTTTTCTTTTGCCACCTGCTTCCTGTGTAAATTGGCAAAAATGTCCCAATGGTGGAACGTTGTCTTTCGTTTTTAGTCCCTCTATAGGTTCTAGGTTAATATCATTTGTAATGTTTTAATAATCTACTTTTGAACAATCCCAAGCGAGATTTGACTTTGATTTGACAGAAGTCTAGGTCACATTAGAATATATTTTTTTTTTGTTATTATTATTATTATTATTATTATTATTCAATACCAGTGTGTGTGAATGAATGTAATGTTTTATAGTGGTATATATGTTTTTTAAAAGTTGATTGATTTTGTTTTGATCAAAAGGTGAATCATTTACGGCTGGACACAGATTAAATTGAAAATAATGAAGTAGTTTTAATACATCCATTGAAGCCCACATACAGGCCTCTCCACAGCACTAACACAGCTGGAACTTTTGCACATTTTGTTTTGTTTACAACCATAAACGTAAAGATTTTACTTAGATTTTTGTTCTAACAGCTGCAAAGTGAAAGTAAAATGATTTAAGATTCTGTTATTTTTCTAAAAATATAAAACCAAAAAGTTGGGAACCCACTTTTGGTATGATAACATCAGCCTTTTGGGGTATGACGCTACAAGATTTGCAAGTTTTCTCTACAATTTTAGTCCATTCTTCTTTACAAAACAACTCAACCTCTGTCAAATTAGCTGATAGGCATTTTTCAGGTCCTTCCACAGATTTTCTTTTGGATTCAGGTGTGGACTTTGACTGGGACACTCTCACACATGAATATATTCTGTTTTAAACCATTCCATTGTAGATTTAGCTTTGAGTTTAGTGTCATTGTCCGGCTGGGAGGTGAATCTTCTCTCCAGCCTCAATTCTCCTCCAGAATCTCCCTGTTTTTGGTTCAATCCATCTTCCCAGCTATTCCAATCTTCCCAGTCTCTGCTGAAGAAAAGCAGCCCCATAGCATGATGCTCCCCCCAGCATATACAGAGTCACGTGCCATTAAACCACTCCATCTCCATAGCTTCGTGTTTCATTGTCCTGTGTCCTTAGAAAGTGCTGATGTTGTGCCTGTGGGCTGTACACACATAAACGGTTTAATTTTGTTCGGTCAGGAGCAGATGGGGAGCAGCATTGGCCCAAACACTTCCCGTACTGTGGCGGAACGTTCCAGTCTCCCATCCACATCACCTCTGACCTGCTGCGCTTCGACCCCACGCTGGGACCTGTCACTCTGCACAACTACAACCTGCCCCCCACGGAGCAGCTGACTCTGGGCAACAACGGACACTCGGGTAAAAACAATAACAACAAATAACAGCGGCACGGTGGCTGAGTGGATAGCACTCTCGCCTCTCAGCAAGAAGGTCCTGGGTTCGAATCCCGGTCGGACCAGGGCCTTTCTGAGTGGAGTTTGCATGTTCTCCCCGTGTCTGCTTAGGTTTCCTCCGGGTACTCCGGTTTCCCCTACCACTAAAAATATGTCCAATAGTTCTGGCATGCGGCTCCTGTACTGGCCCCTCCCATCTCTGTGTGGAGTGAGAGACAAGTGGCCAAAAAAATAAGAATTGTAAACTGCTTTGAGACTCAGATCTGCAGTGAAAAGGTGGTATATAAATAAAGATTAATTAGAGAAAAGATTACTAACAATCATACTTTTTTATTTCTACACTGCAAAAAATTATGAAAAAAAACCCAAACAATTGCTGACTTCAAGAATCTCCAATGGGACAAAGCAAAATGATCTTGTTTTTAAAATATACAAGAAATGTCTCCTTTAGAATGAGAAAATAAAGCAACAATTCTTGAAATAAGATTAAATGTCTTTGTCCCATTGGAGTAACTTGTTTAAAACAGTCAAAATGTGTCAGATTAAGCGAAAAACCACATGATTTAAGCAATTTTTATTATATTTTATCATTTTTGCAGTGCAGATACTCAAGGTCAAAATACATTTAAACACAGGTAAAGTGCATCACCCATCACTAACATTTGAGCACAAGCTACAGAATAATTAGATAAGAATTCTAGCAACAATAAGATTAAACCCTTGGCAACAAATATGCAGCATAAATAATAATAATAATGAATGGGTTTTATACAGCGCTGTTTTAGACTCTCAAAGATGCCCCTCCCACCACCAACCATTCACACACACACCAGACTCATTCTAATGTGGGGGAAGTGTCTTGCCTAAGGACACAACCACAGTTTGGCACTTTACAGCCGCAGCCGCCCCCACGGTGGCTGAGTGGATAGCACTCTCGCCTCTCAGCAAGAAGGTCCTGGGTTCGAATCCCGGTCGGACCAGGGCCTTTCTGAGTGGAGTTTGCATGTTCTCCCCGTGTCTGCGTAGGTTTCCTCCGGGTACTCCGATTTCCCCTACCACTAAAAATATGTCCAATAGTTCTGGCAGGCGCCTCCTGTACTGGCCCCTCTCCCATCTCTGTGTGGAGTGAGAGACAAATGCCCAAAAATAACAATTGTAAACCGCTTTGAGACTCAGATCTGCAGTGAAAAGGCGGTATATAAATAAAAACTTACTACTACTACTTACTGTGGCACCTGCTGTTCCCAGAGGTCTCCCATCACAGCACTAACCAGCCCCTGTCCTGCTTAGCTTCAGAAGTCTGACTTTAGCATAGTAGAGAAGTAAGTGTATCTCTAACTGAAGCAGACCAGGGTTGAAAGGCCTGTGGTTGTATGTTCCCTGAAAGAACAACATTATGATCAAAAATACCGTATTTTTTTGTGAGATTTTCTGTATTTTCCAAAAACGCAAAGAAATAAAGTTTCTCTGTTGAAAAAACCCATCCTCACTTTGTTCCATTCAATGCACTTTTGTTGGGCCCAAACTCACAACAGCCGTCGTCAAAGAGGACTTTATAGTAACACGTACGATAATAACAAACACATAGGAACCATTGTATCTGGAGCAGTCTTCCTGAAAATGTGAGACAGGCTTCCACCTCCAGGCCTTTCTGTACGAAGTTTGCGTGTTCCTCCTGCGTATGTGTAGGTTTCCTCCGGGTGCTCCGGTTTCCCCTACCACTAAAACATGTGTGATAGGTCTGAAGTGAGTGAATGGATGGTGTTTGGTCAGAGGCTTTGATGGACCAGAGTGTTCGGTGTCGTGTGGAGAGAATGGAACGATAACTTTGGGTGACCTTGGTCTGTGCAATACTGTGCTTTATTTATTTTACTTTATTTTTTTTATTTTTTTATTTTCTTATCTATATGTAATTTTTCATTGTATTTATTGTTTGTATGTATTTATTTTTTATTTTTATTTTATTTTATTTTATCTTATTTTATTAGATTATTAGATTTTTTTATCTATCGATTTATTTAAGTTGTGTAAATGACAAAACAATGACAGTCAAATGTAAATGCACAGAAAGAAGAAAATCTCACGATGCCTGCTCCTGCTCCTGCTCCTTCTCCTGCTCCTGCTCCTGCTCCTGCTCCTTCTCCTGCTCCTGCTCCTGCTCCTGCTCCTTCTCCTGCTCCTTCTCCTGCTACTGCTCCTGCTCCTTCTCCTGCTCCTGCTCCTGCTCCTGCTCCTTCTCCTGCTCCTTCTCCTGCTACTGCTCCTGCTCCTTCTCCTGCTCCTGCTCCTGCTCCTGCTCCTGCTCCTTCTCCTGCTCCTTCTCCTGCTACTGCTCCTGCTCCTTCTCCTGCTCCTGCTCCTGCTCCTGCTCCAGCTCCTGCTCGTGCTCCTGCTCGTGCTCCTTCTCCAGCTCCTGCTCCTGCTCCTGCTCCAGCTCCTGCTCCTGCTCCAGCTCCTGCTCCTGCTCCTGCTCCTGCTACATAAACATTACTTAGACTTTTTCCCTTTAAACCTGGAATTTTGAATGTTTTTCCTTCAAATATTTCACATAAGTCGAATGTTTTCCTTCTGTCCTTCTTCCAAAAGCCTCTTTCTTCCCATCACCATAAACCAAACAACGTATGCATAGATTACATCCTTTTGAATCTCAGAAAGAAGCCGTAGCCGTTGCCAATCCAAGCTAACGGCAACTGTCAATCCAAGCTAACGCCAACTGTCAATCCAAGCTAACGCCAACTGTCAATCCAAGCTAACGCCAACTGTCAATCCAAGCTAACGCCAACTGTCAATCCAAGCTAACGCTAACCTTCAATCCAAGCTAACGCCGACATCAGAACGCCCTGACATCCTGTAAATATGAATCCTTTTCTTTTTCACCACAGTCTTAAATTATGGGTGGACTTTCTGAAAATGACGGTGGATTATCCCGGAGGTTTTACCACAGTAATTATTGCCGAACGCGCTTATTACAGAGTGCGACTAGTCTGGGTGATCTGGGGAGAGATTAGTCGACAGTTTTGAGACTAAAAGAGTGACGTGACTTTGTGATTGTTGGTGACTTCTGAAGAGCGGTGCTTATGTGTTTGGACGTCAGCTCCAAAGAAACGCTGACTCAGACGTTTGTCACTCAGACATGCACCTGTCTCTCTGAGGCTTTTACGACATGCTTTTTGCAACGAGTGAGAAAAATTAACTCAGATACTTTATTGAAGAAGAAGAATGTGGTTTTACTGCAAATGGTAAATAAACTAAATATAGAGTAACCTTCATCTCAAGAAGAAGAAGAAGACGAATTGATCCCTGTAGAAAAAGAGAAATTTAGGAGAGAATCTAGAGCAACCTCCATCTGAAGAAGAAGAAGATGAAGATGAAGAAGAAGAAGCAGATCCCTGTAAAAACAGAGAAAATCAGGTGTATTCTGAATTACACTACTAAACTGTATGACTGGGCATTATGTCCAAACTCAGGCCCGCGGGCCAATTGCGGCCCTCTGTGCTATTTCATGTGGCCCTGTGCTGCTCACACAAAGCCATTGAGGCGCTTTGACAGTGTCATCCAACCAACTTCAGCTCCACCAATACAGTCATGCTACACCTTGTTGTAAATCCCAGACCCTCTGGAATCCAGTCGTTGGCTCTATTGTTATTTTCTGATAAACTTAAGTGGCCCTCTTACTCAAAAGTTTGGACACCCATGGTCTAATTCATCTGATAAAACTAAATTGTAGTTTTAAAGGGGCTATATGTAATTTTTTATCTCAAATCTACATATTTGTTGAGTCCCCAGAGAACAGGTCACATGAACTAATGGGGTTTTCCTTGATCACAAAAATATACAGTGGAAAAGATCTCCAGGACTAGATGTTTGGTCCAAATCTAGAGCTAACTGTTGCAGTGTCCTTTGGCAAGACACTTCCCCCACATTAGAATGAGTCTGGTGTGTGTGTGAATGGTTGGTGGTGGTGGGAGGGGCTGATGGCACAAACTGCCTTGCTTCTGTCAGTGTGCCCCAGGGCAGCTGTGGCTACAGTAGTAGTTTAGTTTAAGAATATTGACACGTCTTTGAGCATCCAGAAAAGCGCTATATAAAACTGATGCATAATCTCTCTCCAGTCTGAATCTAGAGCTAACCTCCGTCTCTTTCCAGTCTGAATCTAGAGCTAACCTTCGTCTCTCTCCAGTCTGAATCTAGAGCTAACCTCTGTCTCTCTCCAGTCTGAATCTAGAGCTAACCTCTGTCTCTCTCCAGTCTGAATCTAGAGCTAACCTCTGTCTCTTTCCAGTCTGAATCTAGAGCTAACCTTCATCTCTCTCCAGTCCGAATCTAGAGCTAACCTCTGTCTCTCTCCAGTCTGAATCTAGAGCTAACCTCTGTCTCTCTCCAGTCTGAATCTAGAGCTAACCTCCGTCTCTCTCCAGTCTGAATCTAGAGCTAACCTTCATCTCTCTCCAGTCCGAATCTAGAGCTAACCTCTGTCTCTCTCCAGTCTGAATCTAGAGCTAACCTCTGTCTCTCTCCAGTCTGAATCTAGAGCTAACCTCCGTCTCTCTCCAGTCTGAATCTAGAGCTAACCTTCATCTCTCTCCAGTCCGAATCTAGAGCTAACCTCTGTCTCTCTCCAGTCTGAATCTAGAGCTAACCTCTGTCTCTCTCCAGTCTGAATCTAGAGCTAACCTCTGTCTCTCTCCAGTCTGAATCTAGAGCTAACCTCTGTCTCTCTCCAGTCTGAATCTAGAGCTAACCTCTGTCTCTATCCAGTCTGAATCTAGAGCTAACCTCTGTCTCTTTCCAGTCTGAATCTAGAGCTAACCTCTGTCTCTCTCCAGTCTGGATCTAGAGCTAACCTCTGTCTCTTTCCAGTCTGAATCTAGAGCTAACCTCCGTCTCTCTCCAGTCTGAATCTAGAGCTAACCTCCGTCTCTCTCCAGTCTGAATCTAGAGCTAACCTTCATCTCTCTCCAGTCCGAATCTAGAGCTAACCTCTGTCTCTCTCCAGTCTGAATCTAGAGCTAACCTCTGTCTCTCTCCAGTCTGAATCTAGAGCTAACCTCTGTCTCTTTCCAGTCTGAATCTAGAGCTAACCTCTGTCTCTCTCCAGTCTGGATCTAGAGCTAACCTCTGTCTCTTTCCAGTCTGAATCTAGAGCTAACCTCCGTCTCTCTCCAGTCTGAATCTAGAGCTAACCTCCGTCTCTCTCCAGTCTGAATCTAGAGCTAACCTTCATCTCTCTCCAGTCCGAATCTAGAGCTAACCTCTGTCTCTCTCCAGTCTGAATCTAGAGCTAACCTCTGTCTCTTTCCAGTCTGAATCTAGAGCTAACCTCTGTCTCTCTCCAGTCTGGATCTAGAGCTAACCTCTGTCTCTTTCCAGTCTGAATCTAGAGCTAACCTCTGTCTCTCTCCAGTCTGAATCTAGAGCTAACCTCTGTCTCTCTCCAGTCTGAATCTAGAGCTAACTTCTGTCTCTCTCCAGTCTGGATCTAGAGCTAACCTCTGTCTCTCTCCAGTCCGAATCTAGAGCTAACCTCTGTCTCTCTCCAGTCTGAATCTAGAGCTAACCTCTGTCTCTCTCCAGTCTGAATCTAGAGCTAACCTCTGTCTCTTTCCAGTCTGAATCTAGAGCTAACCTCTGTCTCTCTCCAGTCTGGATCTAGAGCTAACCTCTGTCTCTTTCCAGTCTGAATCTAGAGCTAACGTCCGTCTCTCTCCAGTCTGAATCTAGAGCTAACCTCCGTCTCTCTCCAGTCTGAATCTAGAGCTAACCTCCGTCTCTCTCCAGTCTGAATCTAGAGCTAACCTCCGTCTCTCTCCAGTCTGAATCTAGAGCTAACCTCCGTCTCTCTCCAGTCTGAATCTAGAGCTAACCTCCGTCTCTTTCCAGTCTGAATCTAGAGCTAACCTCCGTCTCTCTCCAGTCCAAATCTCGCTGCCGTCTCGGATGCACATCTCGAGCCTGCCTCACCGCTACAGCGCCGCGCAGCTGCACTTCCATTGGGGCTCGGCGTCTCGACCAATGGGATCGGAGCACACGGTCAACCATAAACAGTTCGCAGGAGAAGTAAGCAGCACATTCTTCCCAAACCGCTGCATGTTGTTGAAGTGGCTTCCTCCCGCTGCCGCCACCTGTTGTTTGTCTCTGCTGCTTTATCACCTGTTTTTAAGTGAGATGTTTTCCAGGTCAAAGAGCTGTCTCTGCACTTTAGTGAGCGCAGCTTTAGCTCCTGACGGACAGGGCATTTGGACACACATCACACAGACTTCACAGAGACTTCAAAGAGACTTTAAAGAGACTTCACAGAGACATCAAAGACACTTCACAGAGACATCAAAGACACTTCACAGAGACATCAAAGATACATCAAAGAGACATCACAGAGACTTCACAGAGACTTCACAGAGACATCACAGAGACATCACACAGACTTCACAGAGACATCACAGAGACTTCACAGAGACATCACACAGACTTCACAGAGACTTCACAGAGACATCACAGAGACTTCACAGAGACTTCACAGAGACTTCACAGAGACTTCACAGAGACTTCACAGAGACTTCACAGAGACTTCACAGAGACTTCACAGAGACATCACAGAGACTTCACAGAGACATCACACAGACTTCACAGAGACTTCACAGAGACATCACAGAGACTTCACAGAGACTTCACAGAGACTTCACAGAGACTTCACAGAGACATCACAGAGACTTCACAGAGACTTCACAGAGACTTCACAGAGACTTCACACAGACATCACAGAGACTTCACAGAGACTTCACCGAGACTTCACACAGACATCACAGAGACTTCACCGAGACTTCACAGAGACTTCACAGAGACTTCACAGAGACTTCACAGAGACTTCACAGAGACTTCAAAGAGACTTCACAGAGACATCAAAGACACTTCACAGAGACATCAAAGACACTTCACAGAGACATCAAAGAGACATCAAAAAGACATCACAGAGACATCACAGAGACTTCACAGAGACATCAAAGACACTTCACAGAGACATCAAAGACACTTCACAGAGACATCAAAGAGACATCAAAAAGACATCACAGAGACATCACAGAGACTTCACACAGACATCACAGAGACATCACACAGACATCACAGAGACATCAAAGAGACATCAAAAAGACATCACAGAGACATCACAGAGACTTCACAGAGACATCACAGAGACATCACAGAGACTTCACACAGACATCACAGAGACATCACAGAGACTTCACAGAGACATCACAGAGACATCACAGAGACTTCACACAGACATCACAGAGACATCACAGAGACATCACAGAGACTTCACAGAGACATCACAGAGACTTCACACAGACATCACACAGACATCACAGAGACTTCACAGAGACATCACAGAGACATCACAGAGACTTCACAGAGACATCACAGAGACATCACACAGACATCACAGAGACATCACAGAGACTTCACAGAGACATCACAGAGACTTCACACAGACATCACACAGACATCACAGAGACATCACAGAGACATCACAGAGACTTCACAGAGACATCACAGAGACATCACACAGACATCACAGAGACATCACAGAGACATCACAGAGACTTCACAGAGACTTCACAGAGACATCACAGAGACTTCACAGAGACTTTACAGAGACTTCACAGAGACATCACAGAGACTTCACAGAGACTTCACACAGACATCACAGAGACTTCACAGAGACTTCACAGAGACATCACACAGACTTCACAGAGACATCACAGAGACTTCACAGAGACTTCACAGAGACATTACAGAGACTTCACAGAGACTTCACAGAGACTTCACAGAGACTTCACAGAGACTTCAAAGAGACTTCACAGAGACATCAAAGACACTTCACAGAGACATCAAAGACACTTCACAGAGACATCAAAGAGACATCAAAAAGACATCACAGAGACATCACAGAGACTTCACAGAGACATCAAAGACACTTCACAGAGACATCAAAGAGACATCAAAAAGACATCACAGAGACATCACAGAGACTTCACACAGACATCACAGAGACATCACAGAGACTTCACACAGACATCAAAAAGACATCACAGAGACATCTCAGAGACATCAAAAAGACATCACAGAGACATCACAGAGACGTCACACAGACATCACAGAGACATCACAGAGACATCACAGAGACATCACAGATACATCAAAGAGACATCAAAGAGACATCAAAAAGACATCAAAAAGACATCACAGAGACATCAAAGAGACATCAAAGAGACATCAAAAAGACATCCCAGAGACATCACAGAGACTTCACACAGACATCACAGAGACATCACAGAGACATCACAGAGACTTCACACAGACATCACAGAGACATCAAAGAGACATCAAAAAGACATCACAGAGACATCACAGAGACATCACAGAGACATCACAGAGACATCACACAGACATCACAGAGACTTCACAGAGACTTCACAGAGACTTCACAGAGACTTCACAGAGACATCACAGAGACTTCACAGAGACTTCACAGAGACTTCACAGAGACTTCACAGAGACTTCACAGAGACATCACAGAGACTTCACAGAGACTTCACAGAGACTTCACAGAGACTTCACAGAGACATCACAGAGACTTCACAGAGACTTCACAGAGACTTCACAGAGACATCACAGAGACTTCACAGAGACTTCACAGAGACTTCACAGAGACATCACAGAGACTTCACAGAGACATTACAGATACTTGCTAACGAGATGGTTGCCCAGAACAATAACGTGACTTAGATTGTGACATGTTGAGATCGCAATAAAACTGGATTCAGACTCAATAAAAGTGACTGGTCTCGTGCTGGTCTCAGAGTAAGTAATGTTTATTTATATAGCGCCTTTCTCAGACCAGAGTCAAAGCGGTTTACAATTGTTGTGGGCATTAGTCTCTGACTCCACACAGAAATGGGAGCGGGGCCAGTACAGGAGGCACAGACCTATTGTACATGTTTTTAGTGGGACCGGGATTCGAACCCCGGACCTTCTTGCAGAGAGGCGAGAGTGCTATCCACTCAGCCACCGTGCCGACCAGGAGTCAGGACTAAACAATAAAGAGCATTTCAGCATTTCAGATTTATGCAGCTAAATCTGCGACAGTCTCAAGATAAGATAAACTTTATTGATCTCACAAGATAGAAAGGTCCATGTCACATTTGGCACAGACAGAATCACTCACTTCAGAACACATGAAGTCTTCCTCAATAATGTGAGGCTTCTTCTCTGACATTGTTCAAACACAGGCTAAACAACACTGTAAAGATTGATAAAATAAGAGGTTATAATTACTTGAATCATGTGGATTTTATCTTAATTTGAGCACACTCAGAATCAGAATCATGTTTATTGCTATGTAAGTAACAGGAAGTCACAGACAAGGAAACTGCTTTGGCTCTCGGTGCAATTTATTGTGTTAAAACAAGATTCTCCAATGGGACAAAGACATTTAGTTATATCATGAACTGTCTGGAGAGAACTGGAGACCTTTTTGTATCTTCTATTGGCAAATCTTGTTATTAAATTAAGATACATTTAGACATTTTTTAGCAATGTTTTACTTTTTATAACTTTTTGCAGGGGAAGACGACCAATAGCCATAAATGTTCATAAACGTTCATAAATGTTCATAAATGTTCATAAATGTTCATAAATGTTCATAAATGTTCATAAATGTTCATAAACGTTGAGCTGTCCTGGATCCTCCTCCTTCATCGCCAAGACAAACGACTCCAACAAACATAAAAACCCGCAGAACAATAACCGGACTTAGATTGTGACGTGTGGAGATCGCTATAAAACCAGATCATGACTCAATAAAAGTGACTCTGATATTATAGCATCAAAATAATGAGAAGGTTGCATTGTTTCCTGGATTTGTCTATTTAGAAAAAGCAGTTATTTTGTCTGCGCTGACAGAGTCTTGGAGTCTGTGGTTTGAGGATTAAACCAGGAAAGTATCACACATGGTCCCCGCCACCTCTGAAGGAGTGGCCGTCTGCCGCTCCGTAAGCACTTTTCACGCTCTCGTTTGCTCTTTTGTTTGCCGTCTCCTTCTCAGATACTCAAATAAAGTTGTAATTGCATAAATGTAGTGTCTCGGCGTGGAAGGACGGCCCCCACGCTGTCCCTGGAGGAGCTGCAGAAGCCACATGAGAGGAGGCTGTGGTCGGACCTGCTGCTCTCCAGGGACACGTCACTGACTTCTCCACTGGCTTTTCCTCACGTTTCTCTGCTGCTGCTGCTGCTGCTGCTGCTGCTGCTGCTGCTACTGCTGCTGCTGCTACTGCTGCTGCTGCTGCTGCTACTGCTGCTGCTGCTACTGCTGCTGCTGCTGCTGCTACTGCTGCTGCTGCTACTGCTGCTACTGCTGCTGCTGCTACTGCTGCTACTGCTGCTACTGCTGCTGCTGCTACTGCTGCTGCTGCTGCTGCTACTGCTGCTACTGCTGCTGCTGCTACTGCTGCTGCTGCTACTGCTGCTGCTGCTGCTGCTGCTGCTGCTGCTGCTGCTACTGCTGCTGCTGCTGCTACTGCTGCTGCTGCTACTGCTGCTGCTGCTACTGCTGCTGCTGCTGCTACTGCTGCTGCTGCTGCTGCTACTGCTGCTACTGCTGCTGCTGCTACTGCTGCTGCTGCTGCTGCTGCTGCTACTGCTGCTGCTGCTACTGCTGCTGCTGCTGCTACTGCTGCTGCTGCTGCTGCTGCTGCTGCTGCTACTGCTGCTGCTGCTACTGCTGCTGCTGCTACTGCTACTGCTGCTGCTGCTACTGCTGCTGCTGCTGCTGCTGCTGCTGCTGCTGCTGCTGCTGCTGCTGCTGCTGCTGCTGCTGCTGCTGCTGCTACTGCTGCTGCTGCTGCTACTGCTGCTGCTGCTGCTGCTACTACTGCTACTGCTGCTGCTGCTACTGCTGCTGCTACTGCTGCTGCTGCTGCTGCTGCTGCTGGGGATGATGGGAAGTTTCCTTTACTGACAGTGATGCAAATGATATCAAGGCAGGAGCATATGCCAAACAAGTGCGTAAAGAAGAAGATAAGCCTTGGTGTCTATCATAATAATGGATTGGTTTTATACAGAACTTTTCTGGACGCTTCACATGTCATTATTCTTTCACTCAAAACACGGTGGTGATAAACAGCTGTAGCCACAGCTGCCCTGGGGCACACTGACAGAAGCGAGGCAACCAGTCTGTGCCTCAGCCCCTCCCACCACTAACAACCATTCACACACACACCAGACTCATTCGAAAGTGGGTGAAGTGTCTTGCCTACAGACACAACCACAGTCTGGCACTTTACAGCTGGAGCCGCCCAAGCCCCGGCGATCCAAGATGGCGCCCTATTCAAAGGAATGGTTTGTGCTCAGTGGCGCTTTGTGCCGGCACGGTCGCTGACATATCAGAGGAACTCGCAAAGATCTATGGGAAACTCGCCTGTATTTGAGCATCGTCTGGTCCTCCCGGTTCTGCGCAGTGGATGATCTCCCATGATGCATTGCGCCAAATACGCGTGTGTGGCTCTCATGCACAGAGGGGCTCGGCCGCGCTCTGACCAATCAGAGCTGCTCATCAGAGCGGGAGTTACAGCGGGAGCCAGACGAGCAGAGTTTGTGGCACTAAGGTGTGGATTTAAGAAGAAAAAAAGTTCAGGATGACAAGGGACACTAAAATCCCCACAAAATCTGACCTTTATGAAAGCTGTAGGTTCTCTGTCAGGTTCTCGGTCAGGTTCTCCTTCGGCTGAGGTCGAGCTGTTTTAGTTCTATGGGAACATTTCTGGGTCGCCCTCATGAATTTAGTCTGGCCCAGTCTGCAGTACCCTATCCAGCTTCCGAGGTCTGACGGAATCTGGCTTTCGCACTGGCCACGTTGATCTAATAATTTCAATACTTAAAATTTGAGCAAAGTGGATTTACATGTGACCACAGTTCCTAGGGAAAAAATAATTTAGTATATATATATTTTTTCATTTCAAAATCAATGCATATTAAATATTTTTCGGTTGTTCTTACAATATGTTTTTGTGTTTTACAGATGCATGTGGTGCACTTTAACTCAGAGAAGTATCCAAACATGTCGGTGGCTGTGGATAAATCTGACGGACTGGCCGTGCTCGGGGTCCTCATCGAGGTAAGAAACTACAGCTCAAGAGGATCGATGTTGCCAAAGATCTACACTGCAAAAAAATGATAAAACATGAGGTAATAATTGCTTTAATCGAGTGGTTTTTAGTCTTTGAACCAGATTCTCCAATGGGACAAAGTCATTTAGCCATCTTTTTTGAAACAAATTGAGATGCATTTTGCCAAATTTTAGCAATTTTGACTTATTTTTCACTTTTGCTCTGTAATAATTTCAATACTTTTAAAAATTGAAGCAAAGTGGAATTACATTAGACCTCAGTTCCTTGCGCAAACTGTGTGTGTGTGTTCGTTTACTTCAATCGCAATGGATTTTAGAATGAGCTTTGAGATTTCCTAATAGTCCTAAAATATGAAACAGCTTCTCAGAATGTCTTAGGAGTCACTTAATTATTAGGCTGCAAAAAACATTACATGACTGTGAACATTAAGAAAAAATACAAAACATATTTCTCATGATTTCCGGTTTCTTTTGCAGATTGGTGAATTCAGTCCTGCCTTTGATCAGTTCCTGAAATTCATCAATGGAATCAAATACAAAGGTGTGTGGCCTGCTTATTACTATTCTAGACTCGATATAACCTCATAGTTCATCCTCCTCCTGCTCCACTCGCCCAAGGTGTCCCACAAGGCTCAGTCCTCGGCCCCTTTCTCTTCGTTCTGTGCCTTCTCCCCCTCAGTCAATAGAGCTGTCGATTCGCCAACACAGATCTGAGAATCAAACAGTCCAAACACAAGAAATGCATTGATAGAAAACACATAGAGCTATTGGTCTTTAAGAGGTGGAGACTAATGTCCAAAAATGTTGATAAAGTCCATAAATGTCTGTGAGTGTCGAGTGCCCCAGTTTAGTTCAATAGGACTTTTTACCCTCAATTTGAATGGGTGCTAATCATATTTGAAAGCCATTAACATTAATTTTGAAAGTCCATGACATCTGCCTCTGTCTCTTGACTCACAATCCCCTCAGCTAAACAAAAATCATACTTTTCCCTAAAATACAATCTCCCACCTCCAGAACACTGGCCATCCCTCTCCTCACCGTCTGCCAAACCCGTATCCACGCTCCTGATAACCTGCTGCCTTTGTATGATGTCAACGCAACAATGTCAAATGTGTTTTTTTATTGTGTGAAAAGCTCTTCTAGGGACAGACTTTGCAAATTAGCCTTGGTTATAAATGTAGTGCTTCACATGTTGATTGTGTACAAGTGTCCCCATCTAATAAACCAATATATTAGATTAAGAGAAGTTACAGGACAGTAGGAATGAGCACACAGCACAAGATAAGTGAACAGTGACTATACTAAATAAAGAAGTATGAAATAATAATAACAACAAATGAATACCTCACTCCAAACTCCTCAATAGACTTCTATACGTTCAGAACTCGGCTGCCCACGCCTCACGCTCACACCTCCCGCGAACACATCACCCCTGTCCTCAGAGAACTCCATTTGTTTCCTGTCCCCCAAACACCTCACAATTGTTGATAAATCCATCCATAACGTTCCAACCCCCTGTGTGCTCTCTAGGACCGGACTCAAGACCTGGGACTCAAATACTTTAGCTTAGAGAGTCTTCCAAACATCACTGCAAAATCGTCTCTCAAAATTCCTTTCTTGTTAATTCCATGGCGTTTTGTTTTGTCTCGTTCTTTGAGTCTAAAGTGTAAACTGTCATGAGAAGCTGTGTATGAGTAGTGTGTTTTATTGTTACTTCTTTTGACTACGTTCTTTCTTCAGGTCAGAAAGTTCAGGTCCCTGGATTCAACGTCCAAGACCTGTTGCCTCGTCTGGATGAGTATTATCGCTACGACGGCTCGCTGACCACGCCCCCTTGTTACCCCAGTGTTCTGTGGACGCTGTTCAGAAACACAGTAACCATATCTCGCTCTCAGGTGAAGGAGGAATATGTCATTATCTCTAAACCCATTGGAATATCGTGTAACTGATGTTTGTTTGCTGCAGTTCGTGTCCCTGGCCACAGCCCTGTTCTCGTCTCATGCTCAGGACTCGACCCCTGTCCCTCTGAACACAAACTTCAGGAAACCGCAGGAGGTCGACAGTCGCCTGGTGCTGGTGTCCTTTAAAGAGGGTAAGTACGGAGCGCCTCAGGTCAAACCCCTGCACGGCTTTAAAATAAGCAAATGACAGGTTTGGAGCGTTCTCCTGGTGCTGCTGTCTCCTGATGTCTCTATCACCTGCTTGTGGTGGAGCTCAGTGACTCTTTTTCATTAACATCTTCCACCACGAGCTGCATTCCTGCTGATTATGAAGTGCATGTACCGCTGTTTGTACCGCTGTTTGTACCGCTGGGCTTTCTTTCAACACTTTTCTCATGGCACTTTTCTCTGGACCCGGCTTCTTCAAATCACATGGTTCTTTTGGATGCCACTAGACTGACTGACGAGTGTTGTGGGTGTGGAGGCCGTAAACGTGGAGTTTAACAGTTGTGTCTCGTGCAGGCAGAGGGAAGCTTGCCCCGACTGTCACCCCTGGCTTCATGAGGAAGCACATAGTGCTGCAGCTGCTGGTGGGAGACCTGGCCGACCTGGCAGACGAAGGCCTGTTCCAGCTTCTTCCCAGTGTCTCAAAGCTTCAAGGTGGCAACAAGAAAGAGCTGTGGTCCAAAGGTCCCAAATCCAAAAAACACATGTTGGATTCTCCTCAGAAGAAGAGCCAGAGCCGCTCTGAGGGACAGACTGTGCCAAACCAAAACACTCTGTGCTATGTGTCTCTGGAGCAGCGAGTGGTGACGCAGCTGCATCAGGCTCACGCTGAGAACCGTCTGGTGCAGACTCTTCAGGACGAGCTGTTCCCACAACTCAACCTGCGCAGTTTTCTGGACTGTAGATCTGACCTGGCTCTTCCCACCATCAGACACATCCTGAGCGGACGACCCACAGACGAGGCCTGGGAGCTCAACCAGTCTCTCACTAAAGCCTTCTCTGTGCAGAAGAAAACCTCCACAGCGTTGAAGAAGAGAAAACCTGTGACGAACACTAGCAAACACCCTCCGACCATGGTCCCCAGGAGACCCCCCAGCCAGGGCCACCCCCACCCCTGGCTCCTGCCCATGGAGTGGGAGGACTGAGAGGACCCAACTTTCACATGTTGATCTAAAGAAACAGTATGTGGCCATAAGCTGCTCCACTCTGTGCTCAGGAATAATAACAATGAAATATTTACCAAAGTGCACATAACGTCCTGCTGCAGCCACAGACTGAACTGAGCAGCTGAAAGGTTTTCATCCAGCTCTCCTGTAATTACACAGATTCCACTTTATGATTCCACTTTATGAAAGCATTCCTGCCTCTAAACATACTGCTCTGTACAGCTGAATAAAACATTTTTGCAAGACTTCACAGCTCACGGGTTTTAATTGCAGAGATTTGGAGAAAGCTAAAATAGTTTCTGCTGTTGCTGCTTTGGAGATTTCTATATCAACAATGAAATAACGTCCTCTCAATATGTCTCTGCTTCTCTGCCTCAGACGGACTGTTCTGGACGGAACCAGGTGTGTGAGTGACAACCTCTTTACTTTCTCACATAGTTATATTCATGTCAAGTATTTAGGTCAGTATCAAAAAACCCAGTTCATGTGTATGCACTGCAAAAAGGGATGAAAATCTTGAAAAATGCTCAAATTTGGCACATTTTGACTCAAAACTTAAAACAAGATTTTCCAACGGGACAAAGCAAAATGAGCTTGTTTTTAAAATATACAAGAAATGTCTCCTTTGGAATAAGAAAATGAATGAAAAAACACTATTCAAGCATATTTTACGTCATATTTTATCATTTTTTGCAGTGTACTGAATGTAGCAGTTGTTAACAATGAAACTAAGATTAGAATTCCAACCAACATCATTTCTCTGGTGTAAACTACTAAAACAGCTGCCGTTCTCTCTGTGACTTTTCTAACGGATGTCCCTGCCTCAGGTCTGTTGGTGCCGCTGCTCCTGGCCTCAGCTCTGGGATTCTCGTCTATAGTTTTGTGCCTGTGTCTCATTAAGAGAAAAGTGTAAGTGCTGTCAATCAAATCTGTGTCAAATCATTTTCATTTCAAGAACTGTTGCTTTATTTCTGTATCTTTTTCAAGACAAAATAATATTGCTTTGTCCCATTGGAAAATCTAGTTTTAAGGCTCAGTCAGAATGTGCTCAGATTAACACACATTTG